GTAGAGATGAGGTCTCGCTGTCCAGGCGGGTCTCGAACCCGCAGGCTCAGGCAATCCACTCACCTCAGCCTCCCAAAGGCGTGGGATTACAGGCTGAGCCACCGAGCCCGGCTGAAATATTTTTCTTTCATTCTTCTTTTATCACTGTTGCTGAGGTTGGAAGAGAAAAGGAAGCTGAATTGTTCATCAACACTCTCTAATATGCTGTGAGCTCTGCAAGCAAGGATTTTGTTATAGTTATATTTATATTTCCAACAAATATGACAGTACTTGGGCATTTACCAGTCAGTATATTTTTGACAGATAAGTTCAAAGGACAAAGAGTATACATTTTTAAATGGTTCTTAATAGTTAATGACAAAGAGCTTGGAATCCCAATTTAGAATGCCTGGATTCCACAGGCCTGTAATTAGCTAGAAGCATAAGAGCCACAAGAAGGGTGGATGGTCAAGCACTTACTTGCTGAGCTGGTAATCAGTGCCTTTGATGAACTTGAGCTTCTCCAAGGGCACACCAATACTCTCCAGCATTGCCTTGATCACATTCTCATAGTAACTGGCTCGGAGTTCTAGAAGTTCCCACGGGGCTTTCATGTTATCTAGGTATGCGTGAAGGTCTGCAAATAGAATTGTTACCTGGAATAAGGAATAAGGGACCACCAAAATGTGAATTTGTCCAAGTACTTCAAACCCACCTACCCAGGCTCTTGCACTGCCCTTGTTAAAGTCTCTCTTTCCCAAGGGCTTATTGAATTAGTTCTTACCTCACATCCTGCTTTTAAGAAGTCCGCAATCTTTGACATGGGCACAAAGTAAGCCACATGTGGCTTTCCTGTGGTTGCTGTTCCCCAGTAAATTTTAAGTTCCCGCTCCTTCAGTATCTCTTTCAGCTTCTCTTCCCCTAGAATCTCCTGTTGTGGAGCAGAAGAGTTGGTTTAATGCTAATGCCCCACCTTGCTCACCCTTTCCCCTGTGTCAAGGAAAACAAAGGCATATGTCCCAGGGGAGTCTGGGCTCAGGGCCAGCAGGGAAGTCCGCCATGTTCAGTGCTGAGAGCCAACCTAAGCTGGTGCTGCTGCTAGTACAACTCCCAAGAAGTGACACTGATGTTAGGAGAGATGGGGGCATGTCCCTAAATGCATCTTCCCCTCCAGCTACCTTTAAATTACTCTCCTTCCTTAAAGCCAACTTCTTGAAACAGTTGTCTCTGCTTCTGGTCTCCATTTCCCTATCTCCCATTCCTATGTGAATTCATACATCACACTACTGAATTCCATACAGCATCATATATACTCTTGTTAAGATCATAGAGGACCTCCATACTGCTAATTCAGTGAATATTTTTAGTCTTCACTCCCTCCCCGAAAGCACTCTCTTTTCTTTTTCTTTTTTTTTTTTTGAGTTGGAGTTTCACTCGGTAGCCCAGACTGGAGTGCAGTGGCCGCTCCCAGCCACCGCAGCCTCGACCTGCTGGGCTCCGGCGATCCTTCCGCCTCAGCCTTCCGAGTAGCCGGAATTACAGGCATGCGCTACCACGCCCGGCTGATTTTTTGATTTATTGTAGAGATGAGGTCTCGCTGCCCAGGCGGGTCTCGAACCCGAGGGCTCAGGCAATTCACTCACCTCAGCCTCCCAAAGGCGCGGGATTACAGGCTGAGCCACCGAGCCCGGCTAGCACTCTCTTTTATTTTCTTAGTTTTCCTTTTACTTCTCTGCTTAGATTTCTTTGCGGCTGCTCCTCTTCTTCCTACAATTAAATATTAGCAGTCCTTAGGACTCTAGTCTTTCCTCTTTTTACTCCACATTCTCTCTAGCTGATCTTTTCAGCTTCAATAACTACTCATGAACTCGTAACTCCCAAATCTCCTGTTCACATTCATATATAAAACTGTGCACTTGTCAAGTTGATAATGCAAACACGCTCTAGGTAGGACGTGTCTACTACCCTAAAACCTAATTCATCCAAACATGTTTATAGTATTTACACATCAAAATAAGGGCATGTGTCGCAGGACATTTATGACTTCACAGCACATATGGCACTAAGTTCTAAACAACAAAATTGAGTCACTCATGCTCAATACAGATGGCAGGTGGCACATAATAGGAAGGGTGAGGTGGGAGTCCTGGATTTAAAGCCTGGCTCCAAATACAATGTAACCGTACGCAGGAGGTGAGCCCACTGTGATTTACGTGGAACCCAGGGAATGGCAGTTTGACTGACTGACCGAGCAGCAGTAAGGTCTGCAGCCTCTCTCAGAGCTGCCCCGGCGCCGAGTCCCCGGCCCTAACCACTTAGGACTCCGTAGTGGGGCCCAGGAATCACTGAACCTAGGGCGTATTTCCAACCGCGAGGCCTGACCTGCAGGTTCCGGGTAATAAGGTACAGCTTCTCTTCAGGGCTGGGAGCATCCCCCATGGCTTCGGTACCCCTACTTCCCACGCTCGGCCCGGCACTCGCGTCCCTTCCTCAGTTGCTGCCGCAGCCGCGTGCCGGGAACTGTCACGCGAGTCGGGCCAGGTTGCATCAGCTGAGCTCGTCACTCGGCTAGCTAGCCTAGTCCTCTCTCCGCCCGGCAGTAGCCGGGCAAGTCAGGAGCAGCCAGGAGCCGAGCGGGTCGATGAGACGGGAAAGGGTGGAGCCAACGGGTAGGTGGGCGGGGCGGAGGGCGGGGTTGCAGAGCCTGCGCCGGGCGCAACCCTCCTAGAGGTGGGGCCGTTTCCTGCCAATCATTGCGTGCTTGCCCTCCCCCTGGCATTGGCCCGGCTGCCTCGGGGTGGGGGAGGTGGGGA